TCAAGTAAATGTTTGGTAAACACAAAGCCACTGGAAAGGGAAATCAGTCCGGTCACAATAGCAGGATGCATGAATATGGTTTTCAATGCATGTTGCGCATCCTCAAACACTTTGCTTGCTTACTTTCTTGGTCTTCTGGAAGTAGAGCTCAGGGATAGCATGAAGCCAGTAACCCAGCTGACAGATGTAGTAGAACTTCATCTGGAACCTAAAACAAGACAAGCAACAACTTTAGCATCTCCACGACTCATGGAAGTCAAACATCAATGATAATTGCATTTGCAAGCTGTGTGTTACATACAGTAGGTCTACAAAAATCAGAAGAGAGAATTAGAGGTAGACTAATGCAAGATAATTTGATCAGGAGTCTTGAGAAATCTTTTGAACGGTCTTCTCCATGCGAACCAGCCCGGCAGATCAGTTTACCAAAGAAGATGTATCTTATGAGTGCTCATGCAGTAGATCGGCAGATGTGACGCGAGATGGAATATGAACCTCCACCATTTCATGGCCCACATTGAAACAACCATCACTTTACCTTCGTTAATCAACATATTCCATTATTTTAAATGTAAACATGCTATGCATTTAAATTCACCTCCACTTCCCAGCAGCACAGACAGCTGTACTTACGGCATAAGAGTGTGCGGGTAACCGTCCCAAAGGCTGACGGGATTGGACAGGAGGTTCTCCTTCAGATGAAGCAGAATAAGTCAAATTAATCTTCCAGACACCGTTATAAACACCGACCTGGACACAAGCTCATATTTATATGAAGCAGAGTAGTGATGCTCTTACAGAAACAAGAATGTTGGCTCCCCACAGGCAGGAGAAGAGGTAGAAGGCACTCAGCTGACCCGACTCATTGAACTTGCTGTGCTTGGTTTTGGAGAAGTGCATCTTCCTGTTGATTTTCTGAACAGTCGTGGATTCAAATAAATGGCAAAACATTTATTAGTATTAACAATGTTGCACCAAAACACTATTAAGATGCACACGAACATTTATGGACAAACATTAGTTGTTTCAGATAAACATTGCAAGTTTATTCAGTTTACACAGGATACTTACATCTAGCACGTATTCCTGAATAATGGCGTGCATGATAATGGCAACTAACATGTAGAAGAAGACAGTGGCCACATCTTTCAGACCGTAATGGAAGTAATTCACTGCTGTTTCCTCTGGACCTCCTAAAATCCATGATACAAACAAAATGCAAGCATAAAAAAGATCATAATGCTGTCTTATTAAATGCTAAATTGCATGATTGCACACTTAGTATGGCCAAGTATGGTAACTTCTTGATTTAATTAAGTATAGACAGAACTGATTTGTTTGGCCAAACGCAAACAGCAAGATAATGAACAACAGAACCAATGCACTCGATCTTACACCTTACTTTGGAAGTGAGCATTATTCTTACAAAATAAAAGGAGATAATCATGATAAAACAAAACGATGGAGTTGTTTTTTTACATTATCTAGATCGTTCTTATAACAGCCACAGTAAGTGTCAGTGCCATCAATTATCAGTTCACTTATAAACATCATTAGTAGAGCTGTTAGACAAAAACTTCCTGATAATCTTGAGGTGTTTTAATTAAAACAAAAACAACAATGTTACAGAAAATTGTAAAAATAGAAAGAAAAAAATATATACTCAAATGTAATCTACATGGAAAGAAATATAAAAATGCAGTCAATACACAAATAAAGTAATAGTTAATCTCAAAATGAAAACTCTGGCAATAGAGAACGGCAGCCGGACTTTCACCATTCACTTGCATTGTATGTAAAATAAGGTTTACAATGCAAATGAATGGTGTTAAAAAATAAGTCATGCAGATTTTAAGCAACATGAGGGAAAGTAAATGACAGTATATATTTTTGTGTACATTTTTCCCTAAGTGAATGGTATATATACTAATTATAATCAGTTTCTCATCAAACACATTTTCCAAGATATTATAATTTATAGATGAGAATACAATCACGTACTTAAATCTGTTTAGAAATGCCCATTAAGAGCAAAAAATCAGTTCCAGTAGTGTAAACTTCATCTCCCATGATGCACCAGCGCTGATATTTAGCAAACTATCGTTCAAATCTAACGGTTGTGCAAACTCGTATTCCTAACGAGTGCTGAGAGTGTAAAATCATTAGGTTACTATCAATAAAAGCATTTTGGTAACAAAAATCGTGACCCTGCTGCCGCTGTGCACCGGTGACAACGTTCAGTCATTCTCCGATTGCCACGTAACACTTCATTTGCGCGTAAAAGTATCAGGGTAGCTACAATGTTACGTAATCATCTTCACAAACCAATTCTGTTATTCCGTTCAACACTCCTTTAAATATAATAAATTCGCGCGGGTGATTTTTTTTTTTATCTCGCGGGTTTAAAAGTTCCTTTAATCGCTTCATAGGGAATTCCTCTCTCGCTCTCATGCATCATGTTTGTGTGAATCAAAATTCCCAACTATCTGAATGCAATAAGCAATTAGCGCATACGCCTGAGAGTAAAACCTACTCTAAAATATTAATTTATATGAATCATAAATATGCAAGATGATTAAAAAATGCTGCACATTAAAAGGTAAACCCAAAAAGTAACAGTTCTACCTGCAGTTAAAGGAAGTGAAAGGGACGAGACTATGACAGAACACGAAAGATCCGTTAGATTTCTTATAGAAAACAAGCAAAAATATAAACACTGATCAGGCTGATTTGTCATCTTTGACTCCAGACTGGTCTTAAATCTGTAAGAGTGATTGAATTAATTCAAAAGTGGATTCTTACCTCAAACATAAGACCCAGCAGAAACACCATAGCAACACAAGACACAATATCCGCATGGTTCTGGATCACAAACTCGTGGCTGAGCATCGGTGGGTTCTTGTTGTTCTTTTTTCGGATTCCCATCTTGGTGGATGTTGAGAGAACTTTTGGTGGTGAGTGTGAGTGAGTGAGGAACACGTCTTCACTATTGTTATCTGGCAGGCACGTCAGTTTTAACGCCTACTTCTGTCTTTCTTCTTCTACCCCCTTTTTTCACGTTATACAGTGACAAAAGATGCAGTAGCGCCATCCGTTGGACTGGAGTAAAGAAGACGTTTTATTAATTTTGAGGTCAAGGGCCCTTTTTAGTGGATAGAGAGGATAATAGTGAAATGAATGAATAAAAACAAAAAGAGATACATGTTTATTTAATTAAAATCGTCATTATTACCAGACAGTAAAATCTATTATTTAATATGTGTATTTGTGTATTTAGGCCTACATACTGTAGTATATCATTACTTACATTGCAAAGACATTAAAGGGTTAGTTCACCCAAAAATGAAAATTCTGTCATTAATTAATCACCCTCATGTCGTTTCACACACCCTTCATAGACAGCAACGCTACTACCACGTTCAAGGCCCAGAAAGGTAGTAAGGACATTGTTAAAATAGTCTGTGTGATATCAGCGGTTAAACCTTAATTTTATGAAGCTACAAGAATACTTTTTTGTGCACAAATGGTCATTAATAATTTAATAAAGTCATATACTTATGTTATTTTGTAAGAGGGAACTTGAAACATTCAGCTGAATGTCAGCTGCTTAACTTTAGCTTTTGTTAAAGTAAACTTAATATTTACACACACGCACGCACACACGTGCGCACACACACACACACATGTTGTGTTTCCATGTTTTATGGGGACATTCCATAGGCGTAATGGTTTTTATACTGTACAAACTGTATGTGCTATTGCCCTACACCAACCCTACACCTAAACCTACTCCTTACAGGAAACTTTGTGCATTTTTACTTTCTCAAAAAAACTCATTCTGTATGATTTATAAGCTTGTTTCCTCATGGGGACCTCAAAAATGTCCCCACAAGGTCAAAATTTACTAGTATTACTATCCTTGTGGGGACATTTGGTCCCCATAACGTGATAAATACCAGGTACACACGCATGCGCACACACACACAAACTTTTATGTAATATAATATAATATAATATTAATATACATTATATCATATTTTATTCATTATGTATGTATTATTATTGTAATAATTAAGACTTTTTTTAAAGAATTTGCTTTTCTTCACCAATGCTGCATTTATTTTATAAACAATACAGTAAAACAGTAAAATTGTAAAATATTATTACAAAAAGTTTTCTATTTTAATATATTTTAAAAAGAAATGTATTCCTGTGATGCAAAGCTGAATATTCAGCAGCTATTACCCCAGTCTTCAGTGTCACATGATCCTTCAGAAATCATTCTAATAGGCTGACTATATTTTATTCATTCTTTTCATAAAAATTAGTTCACAAACTGAGATCAAGCAATAATTGTGGATGCCCTGCTAATGTAAGATGGTGTTGTGGCATGTATTCTGAATCAAGTGTTTAAACAAGTCGCTTAAATGAGTAAAAATGGAGAAAACTATTTAATGACAAACCAAAGAGAATGTAATCAACGAAAGGAGATGCAATGACCCCAAAGACTTTGTAACATGAAGTACAATTATTTGGAACTCTGTTTCATTCTGTAAAACACGTAAAGCTGCATACTAAAACAGGCGTTTCCTTATGTTTCATTTTTTGTTCACACAAACAACAGCCAAACACACATAAATACAGGTCTTTGCCAGCATGTGGTTAGACGGTAGTTAAGTGGTAGTTTCAGATTAGGATCTCAGCAATGAACAATGTGTGGTTATTTCCTGGTTTGAAATAATAGGAAGGCTGAGGAGATTGAAAATTGTGAGTATTATAGTTGTGAGAATGAAAGACATTTCTTCTGTATCCAGAGTGTCAGGGAATGAATGATTGCTGTATTTGTTCATTGGTCCAGCCCTTGCATATATCTAAAGAAGTATTTGGGTGTGTGTTACATCACACAGTAACTGCAGGATTAGCTCAGAAAGGGAGTGGTTTGTTCTGTCATATGAATTATGAGAAATCATATGGTCTAAACCAGAGACTCGTCGTCACTGCTGATATGAGCAAGCAGAAGAATGGAAACCCTGGTAAGTTCCGAATGACATTTCTTACAATTTGAACATTTTCTGACAGCTACTGAGAGTAAATGTAAATTAATATTACACTCGGGAGCATTGTAAAGTGACAGTTTATGGTTTATCTCAAAACAACAGCATACTGTATGATCATCGCTCACTGCCGGATAATGAAACTTAGCAAATGAATTTTGTCCTGATGTCAAATTTACTTTACAACATGAAAACAGTAAGTACTTGATTTATGTACTTTCAGGATGTTTTCTTTAAAATAGTACATAACAACATGTTGCATTTATTATGTAAATTGCACATAGACCTGGGGGGCCAGTTGCATAAACTTAGCCTCTATGTTAAGACAGTGTCTTAAGTTCATATATATATATATATATATATATATACACATACATACATACACTACAGCTATGCAGGCTACATAAACCATTATAATAAACGCAAAACATCTTTGAAATGAGACCATGATTGGCTGTATGACACAATACATACATGACTCCAACATATGACAAACTAGATACCCAAAATCATCACTTAAGTCGCTGGGGTATATTTGTAGCAATAGCCAACAATACATTGTTTGGGTCAAAATGATAAAAAAATGTTATGCCAAAAATTATTAGGATATTAAGTAAAGATCATTTTCCATGAAGATATTTTATAAATGTCCTACTATAAATATATCAAAACTTAATTTTAGATTAGTAATATGCATTGCTAAGAACTTCATTTGGGCAACTTTAAAGGCAATTTTCTCAATATTTAGATCTTTTTGCACCCTCAGATTCCAGATTTTCAAATAGTTGTATCTCGGCCAAATAT